TTGAAGTTTCATTTCTTACAACTTTATCGTTCCAAGCTTTGAACATGGTAACAAACGTCACTGGTCGCGTGGAATCCAGTTGGCGAGTTAGGTCAAACAGAGTTCTGGAGAAAATACGCAAAACACAATGAGATCGTAAGTTAAATTATCGTGACGTTAACCATCGTGAAACAACTCTTTTATCAAACATGTGGCGTTATATTGATCACACCACAGAGAACAGAGGCGCTGCCAAGCTGTCAAGGCCTGACCAATAGTGTCGTGAGCAGACGCAAGATTTGAAATACAGTGATTTACGTTGAATTTCAGTAATTCAAAATATACGTTTACGCTTTGTTCGTTTAATTACAGTCACCACTAAGAATTTGGAAGTACATCAAGATAATATCACTTAGCTGATGATTTTCTGTATTCTCGTCACCTGCTTGCTTAATAATGTATAGGTATTGTAATGAGAAATTAGATTTTGATCACTCCTGGGAATTAAAAAATCGCGTCAGCTACAAAACCAAGATGATCACTCCTCTTTTCAAGGACTTTGAGACAGTAAACTGAATTTGAGTGAGTTCTCATTTGCTTCCTGTTATATGTGGTGAATACGCTTTTTGTGATTGGCCATTACATAATTAATAGCGGGAAATGGTTATGAAACCCAACAAATTTCTTTGTTTTAGGTTTTTGTTCGCTTTTTTGGCTTTGACCATGCACAAAACACAATAGTTGTTTACATGTACTCCGTACTGAGGAACTAACAAATAGAGACGTTTTGGTTACGTAATTGTGCACGGTCGTGGACCTTCCAACAAAAATCTTGACATCTTGGTTTGCTTTTTTTATGTTTGCCGGACTTCATAACCATTTCCCTCTAAAAACTATGGCCATTGTAATTGCTTCGGTTCTTGTGTTCAGGCTTGCGTTACCTGACCTAATGGACTAGCACATGTACTCTCGAATGCGCGCAAGCTTTCTTGGTGCAAATAAAGTAGCAAGTTGAAACAGGTTGGAAATTTTCTTCTTGTGACTCTGTTTGGTGAGTTCTTTAACTTTTGTGACAAGTACTCAAGGCTTAATTGCCGTGTTAACTAAAGTTTCATGTACTAAATTATCTTGAATCTGATTCTCCGTCTTGCAAACCTTAAGTCTCATATCTATGAATCAAAAGGCTATTAAAAAGAAATGGCACTACGGTCAGAGTCTTTAGAAAAGGTACTAAAGTTGGCGTTGAC